TCAATGTGACAGACCCAGCAGAAGTGGTGGCACAATAGCGTGCACTTGGAAGGGAGTAGCTGTAGCATTCCTCAGCATTGACTCAGAACTCCTTGAAGTCTTGTGGCATTGGGTCAAACATGGGTATGGAAACCTGCTGATTACTACATGCCGCTCCCTCCTCGGCTGATGAATCCACTCTCATCCATGTTGAGCACAACAAGTCAATCTGATGAAGCATACATGTCAAACAGTAGAAATGTCATATAATAGAGCCAAGCAATTTCACCAGCAGCAGGTCCAGTCTAAGGTTCATAGTTATGCCGCATCCAGTCATGAATGGTGGTGAACAATTGGGCATCTAACTAGAGGAAGAGATTCCACCAATATCCCAAACTGCAAATGCAGGGGAGCCCAGCAAATCAGTGCAGAAAACAAGGCTAATGCATATTCATCCATCTTCAGCCAGGATTGTCAAGTTGATCCATCTCTGCCACCCCCGAGGACCTCGCAGTCACAAACCTGTGTCTTCAGACAGCTTGATTCACTCCATATCATATTAAAAATAACCGAAGGCATTGGATATTGCAGAAACCATCAACTGTAGCAACATTTTGGCATAAATACTGAAAACGTGCTCTAGAGTTGGCTGAGCTTCGAACTAAGCTGTTCCAGTGCAGCTACAACACTGACATTTACCCTGCAATGTAGAAAATTCGTGTGCCTGCCTACCTGCCTGCAAAAAAGCAGGATAAATCTAACTTGGCCAATTACGGACCTAATGGTTTACTCTCAGCAGCAAAGTGATGAAAGGTCTTGTCCTATGGTGCTATCAAGTGGCGTTACACAACAGTAACCTGTTTACTGATACCCAGTTTGGGTTTTACCAGGCCAACCCACCTTCTGATCTCCTTAGAGCCTTGTTCTAGGCTTGGACAAAAGAGCTGAACTCCAGAAGTAATGTGAAGACAACTGCCCTTGACATCAAAGCATTGCTTAACCAACTATGGCATTAAGGAGCCCTTTTACAGTTGAAGTTAGTGAGAATCCCAAGGAAATCAGTTCTGGAGTTCCTCAGGGCAGTGTGTTCAGCCCAACTATCTTATCAATTACCTTTGCTTGAACGTAAAGTTAGAAGTGGGGATATTCATTGATAATTTCAGTGTTGACTACCTTTTTGCAAATTTTCAGATACTGAAACAATCCGTCTTGCCTGCAGCAAGATTTGAATAATGTTCAGGCTTAGATTGATAAGCGGTGAGTAGTATTTGCACCACATAAATGCCAGGCAATGACAGTCTCCAACCATCTTCCTGTGGCATTGCCATCATTGAATTCCTATGCCATCGAAATCCTTGGAGTTACTAATGACTAGACTAGAACTTGGCCACGTATAGAAATACTGTGGCAGGAACAGGTATGAGACATGGCCTAGACTATCCAAAACCTGCCCACTGTCTACAACTTGCAATTCAGAAGTGTGACCGAATACTCTTCTCATTTTGTTGACTACAACTCAAACAACGCCCAAGCAGCGTGCCATTCATGACTAAGTAGCCCACTTAATTTGTAATTCTCCAACCACCTTGTACATTTACTTCCTGCACAACTGTGCAGTATGCGTATATCTTTAATTGAGCTGCGATGACTCATCAACAGCACTTTACAAACTAAAAACCTCTACAACCTAGACAGACAGGGAAGTAGAAACCTTGAATGCAATCATCCGCAAGTTTAGCTCGAATCTCACACCATGTTGACTTGAAAATTGCTTTTCCTACACTGGGTTAAAATCTTGGAACTCCAATCCAAAAAATCAAAGCCCTCCAACTTCTTGAGGCAAGTGGGGAAACGGGCAATAAATGCTGACTTTACCAGTGAACCTTGCATTTCAAAAACAAAGACAAGAAAGGCTCTTTGGGCCATTGACTTAACAGGTAGACCAAATGTTGTATTTGTGGGACATAGCTGAAGATATAATGGGGATTGGCTAATGCAAGGAAACTCTGTTTCATAAAAGTGGAGAGGTAATACTGTTATAACTATGCATATGAGTTACAAAGAACTGTTTTGGAGCATATTTCAAATAATGTATCTTGGAGTTAAGCTAATGACATAATGGTCTAGTTTAAAGCTTGTGACCATCTCAATTTCCTTGAAGTGTTTCTGCCTTGTAACACAATCCAGACTTTCGGTTATCCTATACATAGGGCTATGGGGTCTCATTCTGCTCAGAATAAGTGGGCCAGCTGGGATTTATCAGGGGCCTCTTGATCTGTGCTGTGATTATTACTGCACAAAGTTTTCCAGCATTACTAATGCACTGTTTCACAACACTTGGCTAATGAATAGAGCCTTTCAGAGAAACTTCATTATTTTGTAGTATGTTCTTGCAATGAAATTGATTTTTGTTTTGCTTTGTTAATTTATTGTTGAAGATTTAATGAGTCTGTAAAGGTTATTGGGAGACTGCTGGCAATTTACTCTTTCCCTGCATGCTGTATAGATATTGATTACACTAGAGCATGTCCTCAGCTTCAATGTCTGTATATACCCAGTTTTGATAAATTCTAAAGCTGAGAATTTGCTGTTTGTCATTGATTAAAGTTGTTTAGGAAATATTAATGCATACAAGAGACTTTGATTCTTTAATTTATTGCAGCTGAAATTCAGTTCCATGTTTAAAATTGAAGTCAAAACAATCCAACTAAAAATATATTTTGCTAAATTGTAATGCATGATTTCACATATTGGGAGTTGTTGAAATATAATTTTTATTATGATAGGAAATTGAACTTCTTTGCCATTTCAATTAATTTTCCTAGGTGTTGCTGTGAAATTATGGGACAAGAAGTTGCATTAGGTAGTGGCTTTAGAGTTCTGGAATCATGTGCATTTGTGGCATAAAACATACTAAAGGCCATTTTGCAGGTTTTTGCGTGGATACACTGAATGCCTTTTGGAATTATACAGAGCAGAAAGGTAATGCTAGTCAACTCGTGAAGCTGACTTTGATATGCTGTAATTTTGCAGCCAGGTTCCCCTTCAAGGTTGCACAGCTGAAGATGTTTAAGTATCAGGAAGAAATCCCCACGAGCACTGCATAAAAGAATCAGCAGCTACTTATAACTGAATTGCTAGTTGAATTCTGGCTGTTGCTATTTTGTTGTGCTTTCTGTAGTTGTTTCAAAAGTCTAAAGAAAGTGCTTTGGCAGATGCTGCGCAGTGAGCTGTTCTTAGATGGATTTATCAATCTTCTTGAAATACATCATGCCTGGGAGAATGGACAGAGTCTGAAACTTTTAGGATTTGGAGGAGGGGTAGAGAAGGGCTTTCTGCTCAGGGTCTCCAGGGAGGAATTTTCACACTTGAATATTAGTGAGGAACATTATATGAGATGTCTGCTTCACTAAGGAAATCATCCTTGAAATCTGACAAAAACTAAAGGCTGATGGCTATGTGAGTAACTGTACTGTTGAGCAATGCATCACTCTCCTCCTAGGTTGTTGCTTGATGTAATAGTAATATCCTGCTGTTTGCTGTCTGTGGACACACTTAGGAAGTACTTAGGTTGTCTATTCAAAGAAAGTGAGTCATATTGGACTTGAAACATTAACTCTGTTTCTTTCTCCAAAGATGCTGTCAAACCTTACTTAGGAGAGCTAGAAGTGGGTATGAGAAAACCTTGGCAGGTAGGATCAAAGAAAACCCCAAGGCTTTCTATGCTTATGTGAGGAACAAGAGGATGTCCAGAGTGAGGGTAGGGCCAATCAGGGATAGTGGAGGGAACTTGTGTGCGTAGTCAGAGGAGGTTGGGAGGTCCTTAATGAATACTTTGCTTCAGTATTCACCAGTGAGAGGGAACTTGTCGTTTGTGAGGACAGCATGAAACAGGCAGATATGCTCCAACAGGTTGATGTTAGGAAGGAGGATTTGCTAGAAATTTTGAAAAACATAAGGATAGATAAGTCCCCTGGGCCTGATGGGATATACCCAAGGTTACTACAGTAAGCAAGGGAAGATATTGCTGCCTGTTTGGCAATGATCTTTGCGTCCTCACTGTCTGCTGGAGTAGTACCAGATGATTGGAGGATTGCAAATGTCATTCCCTTGTTCAAGAAAGGGAATAGGGATAATCCTGGGAATTACAGACCGATCAGTCTTTCTTCTGTGGTGGGCAAATT